GAACTCAGTTGTAATTTGGAGGGTCTGCAGTGTGGAAAGATGTATAACTTCACTGTGTCAGCCTCAGATTATTACTGTCAGAGTCCAGACAGCAAGCCAGTCATCCATACAACTGGTAAGAAGCAGTAGCACCTCTGCTTTTATTCTACGTCCTAATAACCCTCTCGTACTTATCGAATCCCAAACAGCAGTTGAGATATTGCAGACGAGTAAGTCTAACTGTTTTTCTGTCATCTCAGCCCCATGTACTGTGCAGAATATGCTGACCACTCTTAACTGTACCACCAACATACTGACCATCAGCTGGACACCGGGATCCATGCCAGTGAACTACAGCACCACAGCGGTGACGACAAATGGCACTACACTTCGCTGCGTCACGCAGAGTTCTAGATGTACGATGCCTGAGTTACAGTGTGGACAGCAGTACAGTGTGAGAGTCAAGCCCATCAGCAGCACATGTGAAGGACCCAGCAGTGTCCCGGAGATTGTAAATTCAGGTATTTTAGTTGACTTGTTAAAGTTTATGACTCTACGAGCCATGATCTCACTCGACATTAAAATGTTTTTTTTTCCGTCTTCCTTGTCTTCCTTTTCCTCTTTGTCACCATCATTTCTCTCACAGTTCCCTGTGTTCCTTTGAACATCCAAACCCTGGTGGAATGCTCCACTAACAGAGTGTGGGGATCCTGGGATGCAGCTCCTGGGGCAATGTACTACATTTCCACACTGAAAGGAGCAGGAGGTTTCTCTACATCCTGTCAAACAGCTAACCAAAGATGCCTCTTCTCTGGTCTGCAGTGTGCTCAGACATACATGTTCAGTGTGATGGCCTCCAACAACAGGTGTAACAGCTCAAACAGCGCCATGGACACAGCAACAACTGGTAAAATATGGACTGAAATATTTTTTGTAGGGTGTGAAAGCACAGCTTACAAATTAGATTTGCTAACAAGTGATTCTTCAAGTTGGGCAAAAGAAGATTATCTCAGCGTTCATTTTCTCCACTTTGACTTCCAGCACCCTGTGACCCTACAAACGTGTCTGCTTCTCTGAACTGCCTCTCTGATGTGGTGACGGTTACTTGGAGGGCCAGCGCCGGCGCAAATTATTACACAATCCTGGCTGAGGCCAGTGGACATGTCAGCTCCTGTAATTCCACTGGTACTTCCTGTGAGCTAAGAAACATGCAGTGTGGGAATGACTACACTGTGACTGTTCTGGCAGGGGACACAAAGTGCAACAGCTCCATATTTGCTAAAACCAACATTACAACAGGTACTTTCAGTTTTGCTCGTTGGCACAAAGAATGACTTCAGGATAAACTGAGTAGCTGAGTAATTATCCTCATGCAAAAAAAGAATGAAATCTTAAACTTCCTAAAACTGCCTACAATTACAGATTACCTAACCAGAAAGATTCCTTTAATCAGCACATCTGTAATGTGTTTTGTGTGCAGCTCCCTGTGCTCCAGTAATCCAAGACCACTCACTGAACTGTAGCTCCAACCAAGCTTTGGTCACCTGGGTTAAGGATGAGGATGCCATGACTGTCATGGTCAATGCAACCTCCAGTATGGGATACTTGCAGTCGTGCAGCTCATCTTCCAACAACAGCTGTGTCCTGGATCTCCTGTGTGGAAACACTTACACTGTAAAGGCTGTCGCAAAAGGACCTCAGTGTCTGAGCAAACCCAGCTCTGCTTTTCAGATTGTTACAGGTAAAGAATATAAGAAAAAAATTTGACTTACCAATTGCTGTTTCTTTTTGATGTCTTTCTCTGTTTTTCTTTTGAAAAAAATTCAATAGTGGTGGTTTTTATACTTTAAAACAGTACAGTTTTTATAGCAAAAGAAAGAAATCTGTCAGCACAACTTGTATATAAAGAAAAAAATGAAGTTTTGTTAAAAAAAAAAAAAAATCTTGTAGCCCATTGCCCATATCGTCTTTTTTGTTAATTCACAGAACATGTCCTTTTTCACCGTAGACCCATTGTAAAAAAAACACACACACACACACACACACAGAAATTTTTCTAGTAAATCTTGGAAAAAAAACAGATAATAGTGCTTTCTATCATTTATATATTACTTAATTATTTTGATGTAGTTTAAAGACCTTGACAGAGGTCTTTATTAGCAGGGAAAGTGTAAAACATCTGAAAATACAGTTAAAAGTCCAAGTCCAACCAGCTGTCCAGAGTCTTTGCTGGGCCAATTCTGGCCCCCAGACCTAATGTTTAACAACCCTATCATAAAGTTTAGGGATGGGTTAAAAAAAAAAGGTTGAAGGTATTCAGGAACTGAACCTGTCTTCTCTCACACAGCACCCTGTACCCCTGCAAACGTGGAGTACCAATACTCCTGTGACACTGGCATTGCTTTTGTGAGTTGGGATGAGACTTTGGGCAGGAAGAGATTCTATGTGCATGCTGAGTCTGGAAATTTCACAGCCTCATGCAGCACCAGCCAGACTGACTGCTCCCTGCCCACGCTGCTTTGTAGTCGCACATACAGTGTAAAAGTAGTAGCTCTGGCTGACTCCTGCAACAGCAGCGTGCCCGGCGTAACGACTATACAGACAGGTAAGACGGAGAGGATGTAGATGCAGGTGATGGGCGGGGCACCTGTATATACAGCTGGGAAAGTCTGTGGGAAATTCAAAAATACTATTTCTGATTACCATGAATACATTTTCCAATTTCCCCATGTTCTGTTTTCTACTATCGTAAGTATCCAAGTGTAGTAAACTGTATATAATACGGTAAATTCTGCATTTCTTTTAAAATACTTAGTTGAAATGCCGAGTAATGCATTGGATTAAAAATTATTTAACACATTTATTTAAAAAATATATAAATGTAACTTTTAGCAAATACATGACTTAAGATAGCAGTCCCCAACCCCAGGGCCACAGTCTGCTACTGGTCCGTGAGTCGTTTGGTACCGGGCCTCGAGAGTTGAGGCGGGTGTGAAATTTATGGTTTTCAGGGTTTTTATCGGTTTCTATCCTTATTTTTTTTATCGTTATTATCGTTAACTTGTTTTCTCTGGGTCTTTTCCTGTGCGTTATGAATAACTCTTCTTCTTTTTGTTACCAGTACTGGTTTTATTTTATTGTATTTATCCGCGACACCTTAAAGGCTGGTCCATGAAAATATTGTCGACATAAACCGGTCCGTGGCGCAAAAAAGGTTGGGGACTGCTGGCTTAAGACATACCAGGTGTAACTTCCTAAAAAATGAAAATGAGGGTTAATTAGGTGGTGTTTGTACTCTGCTTTAAAGACTCAGTGGTTTTTCCTTTTGTTTTCCTGTCAGCACCTTGTGCTCCAGTGAACATCAGTGCTTCCCTGCTGTGTGACAACAACACTGCGGCAGTGAGCTGGCAACACAGTCTTAGTGCAGTGTCCTACAGTGTGAAGGCAGTTGGCAGAGACGGCGACCTCAAAAGGTGTGCCACAAACAGCACAAGTTGCCTGCTACCCAACATGCACTGCTCTCAAACCTACATTATCACCGTCACTCCCTTCTCTATGCGCTGCGAAGGCAGAGAGAGTTTCCCATACACCTACAATGCAGGTGAGATAATGGCAAATAAAAAAATAAACTGGATAAACTTGGCTTTAATCAACTTTATGCATTCTTTAAAATAACCACTAACTTTTATTGATTCAAAACAAATATTTTGCTTTTAATATTTTTAATTATATTTAGATTTATAACCTGTCCAACTTTATCTCACCATCTTTTTCGCAGGTTCCTGCCCTCCCACCAACGTCCACATGTCTCTGCAGTGCGATGGAAATGTGAGCCATGTGACCTGGGACCCTGCCCTTCGAGCAGATCTCTACTTGGCCACAACCGCACCTTCTCTCACGGACAAACACATCCACAACTGCTCATCCAATGGAACAAGCTGCTCCCTTACAGACCTCCCCTGCGGAGAAACAGTCGTTGTCACTGTTGTCACCATAGAGAGAGGCTGCACGAGCCAACCCAGCGTACCATTCACCTTAGAAACAGGTCAGAGAATTGAACCATCCATCCATCCAACTTTTGTAGTGTTCAAAAAATACAGCTACCATAGAACTAAACGTCAGATACAATGTACAAATCTGTTTGCCTGGTACTTTTGTGCATCAACATTTTATTAATATGTTATAATGGCTCACATCTGCCACGTTTCAGTTCACCCATATGCAGACCATAACACAGAGTAGAAAGTGAACTTATTTTTAAAAGATATAACAAAAGTCGACAAAGGGTAAGGTTACTAAATTCAAAGGGTACAAAACCTAAACAATGCAACAGAACTAGGAACTAAAGAACTTGCAAGAAAGAACCAGAAAAAATGATAAACAATCATATAGACAGTTGTCCTGTCAGAAGATTACTGCAAATATAACCAGCTTTCAGGAAATAAAATAGAACTTAGGCAGATTTTGTCTTACCCATCCATCCATTCTCTTTCGCTTATCCTTGTCAAGGGGCAAAACCCTATGATAGGCTGGGATATGCTCTTGCCCCCATAGGGCAAGAGGCGGGGTACACCCTGGACAAGTCACCAGGGCTAACACAGAGAGGCAGACAACCATTCACACTCACGGACATAAAAAAATTGCTTGTTAACACATAAGATAAGCAAGACAGTTGAACGCACAGTGATCTTAACACTAATTAATGCCATACCAATAAGTTGATTCTGTTCATCTGGACGTAAAGTTTCCAGTGGGAGACAAATTAGGGAGGTTTTTCAGGTAAAATCAAATCCAAAGACAGGATCTGTTGTTGCTCATATTCTATTTCTAAAATAGTGTTAAAAAATCAGTGGGACACTAATTATCAAATTGTCTCTCTACCTGTCTCTCCCCCTTCTTAGTCATCTGCCCACCCACTGGTGTGACTGGAGTGACAAATTGCAGAAACAATGACATCACAGTAAGCTGGGACCCAAGTCCAGAAAGCGGAGTGACCTACTTCATCTACTCCCAAGGAAACAGTGGGATCGCTTATAACTACTCCACAACTCAGACTTTCTATGTGATGAATGGGCTGCAGTGTGGACAAACATATATGCTCTCAGTGGCTGCCCAGGACCCTGACTGCACCAGTCTCTTGAGCAAGCAGATAGAAACCGAGACAGGTTAATATCTGGATATTTCTGTTCACCAACAAAGTACTGGTTTGACATCCTTTGCAAATAATTAACCCCAGTTTGGTCTTTTTTTTTTTTTTAATGCAGATGATTTTGTTCATTTCTCACATAATGACTTGTTGTTAATCTCCTTACTTCCAGTTCCATGTCCTCCAACCAACCTGACTGTCAAAACTCAATGTGCCACCAACTTAGCGATTCTGAAGTGGGCACCGAGTACACATGCCATCTCTTACACAGCCACATTAACTGGTACCCACGGCCACTTAGTTTCCTGTCGTACCAACAAAACAACCTGCTCATTGCACGTGGATTGTGCAAAGCAGTACTCAGCTTTTGTGGTTGCTTCCAGTGCAACATGCAACAGCAGTAAATCAGATAATCTAACTTTTGTCTCAGGTACATGACATCTGCTTTTAGGGTTTAATTTTCTTTTAAATCTCAAACCTATTAAACAGTCAACTGATAATCTTCCCTTCTCTTCTCTTCCAAAAGCCCCTTGTCTGCCTGACAGGGTACAAGCAGAGCTGGACTGCAATGCTAACACCTTTGCAGTGGAGTGGAGGGGAAGCCTTGGGGACATTGATTACACTGCAATCGCCATCGGCAGAGACAAGACACGGAGAACTTGCAACTCTAGTAGCACCAACTGCGTCATCCAGGACCTAACTTGTGGCCTCATTTACAGCATTGTCGTCACTACCTCGTCAATCGACTGCGGCTTAATTGAAGGCTCCAACTATGAGATACAGTCAGGTAGCAAATATTCTTTGACCAACATTAAAATTGGGGCAAATGTTTTGAAGTCACTAAACAAAATCCATAACAACGTTATAAAACATATTACAATTCACACATTTTGAGAAGGAGCAAGATTCCTGAACGTCCTGAGTCATTTAATATTTATTTTTAGGTTTTGTGCAGCAACATTCATACTGTATACTTCTATCCCTTCAAATTTTTCATTATAACCTTTATCTAACCTACTTTCACCCCTTTTAATAACTTTTAAAACCACCCACATCTGCTAGTTAATCTTCCTTGCTTTGTCTGCAGCCCCCTGTAAGCCAAACAGCGTGATGGTGAATTTGCAGTGCATAACAAACATGGCGACTGTCAGCTGGGCAAACTCAGGCCCAGACCAAATGCAGGTGGTGTCAGCGAGGGACAGCAGAGGAACAGTCACCACCTGCAACTCCACCAGCTCCAACTGCACCTTCAGTCAACTTAAGTGCGGGGAGATATATGGCATCAGTGTGGTCGGTCTCACAAGCAACTGCAGCAGTGAACCGGCTTTTGCCCAAAGGCTCAACATGGGTAATTTAGCAAATAATAATGAACAGATTGATGCACTGTATCACTGTGACAATTCATCAAGCTTGTTTATAACAAATGCAACAGGTTGTTTAGACTCAGTCACATTTAGGAGCACAAGACATAATGGCCTGTGTCATGGCACAATTGAAACCTCTATTAAGTTACAGCACAGCAGAATAATAATAATACAGACTTCTGTAATGAATTATGATCAAAAATAAAAAAATAACTTTCATTTTTCTAAATTAATTTGCTTAGAAGAGCCATTATTTGTGATCTGCACACAAGCTGTTGTGAATGATTGTTAAAATAAAGGCAGAAAATATAGCCAATCATAGCCAAACACTCCCCAGTATTGACATAATTATCAAGGCTATATGAAAGAATAAATACCCCCAAACCCTATAATGTAATGTAAAAATATTTTTAAAAATGTAAAAAGGTTTCTATAAAACTACTAAAAACTGAAGAATATTTTAACTGTATTATTATTTTTTTTTAACTTATGCAATGAAGCTCAAGCAGCATTTTGAAATGGTATTAGATTTAGGCGAAGCTGATTTGACTTCTGACATCATAGTCATCCATCACTGAACCTGAACAAGTGCATGCCATTAGTGTAGAATATTACAAGCCTGAGCACTGCAGGAATAAACTATATCACACTGATCCATACACTTACCTGTTTCTGTGCTCCATCAGCTCCATGCATTCCCACACACGTCACAGCAAGGGTGGACTGCAACACCGGCATCACTGCGGTCACATGGGATGCTGCGCTGGGTGCCACATCTTACACTGTCTATGCTCGGGGCAGTCTGGGCTACAATGCTCAGTGTAACAACACTGACACCAACTGTGACTTCCTTAACCTGGCCTGTGGACAAGACTACAACATCACAGTGGTGGCTCGCCATAACACCTGTGTCAGCATAGCCAGCGAGACTGTCAAGGCCACCACAGGTAATAAAATAGAACCTGTCATATCCACACAACAAGCTGCTCACTAAAAGTAAATTGTGCACAGCTGTAATGTTGCTAATGCAACATGAAACAACAGTGCATCAATTTTTCACACCTACTTTTAGTGTTTATTTGTGTTGCGGTTACTTTTAATTTACTCTAATGAACATAGCATTAGCTTTTTTATTATTAGCGGCTAAGCTAAATGTTAATGTTATAAAAGAAAAAAAGGGTAACAGCAATTAAATAAACACCCCAAAAAGATCAGCTGAACATCTTTTTTGAAGATTAAATACATAAATCGTGTTAATAACATCTGCTACATGTTAAAAGTATTAACTTTTCAAAGTTACGTCTGTGTCCCTAGTTAACTGCTAACCTGCAGTTATCCTAACAGGAAAACCATTTACTATGTCAGAGCTTTTAAAGTTAAAGAACATTTCTATAGAAATAACTCCTGTTCCTGTGAAAATGAATTCCTGACACTCAAAATGTAAAAAAAAACAAAAAAACAAAACATTTTAAAAAACTACACCTGCTGTTCTTTTTTTTCTTCCCTGTCTGTTAGGTCCTTGTCCCCACAGTGGTCTGAGAACATCCCTGGACTGCAACACCAACACAGCTGTGGTATCTTGGACTACAGGAATTGGCATCCTCTACTACAATGCCACAGCTGAAGCCTTCGGCTCCATAGACAAGCAGACCTGCTCTACAAATGGCTCCTCCTGTAATATCAGTTCTCTGCAGTGTGGGGAAAGCTACAAAGTGAGCGTCAGTGGACAGGGACTAGACTGCAGCAGTCCTGCTCAGGACTGGCATCGAGTGAACACAGGTGGGGTCAATTACATCCCTACAAAACAAGCTGACACCTAACTGGAAGATAATGGATAAAATGTTCTGTGCACATTTGCATACACTATCCAAAATGTTTTGCTGCTTATCAGCTAATTGTTCTCTTTATCTGTTTTAACATACTATGGAAACCATTTCTGCCCAAGCATCTCACTAACTAGTGTTAATATTAGTTATAACATGTAACTGTATGAAATGCAAATACAAATTATTCCTGATTCATTCTGACATCCTTTTTAAATCTCAGGATCTAGCTCTAAACAGAAACCTCTATCAATGAACTGTGAAAAATAATCTCACTCACTGCTTGTTTTTCCTCCAGCTCCCTGCCCTCCCACCCAGCTGATGGTGAACTCTTCATGCAAATCAAACAACATCTCAGTGTCCTGGCAGGCCTCTCAAGGCTCAGTCTCCTACATGGCAGTGGCTGAAAATGAACAGGGCCACCGGTGGTCGTGTAACACCAGCAGCACCAGCTGCCAAATATCTGGTCTGCTCTGTGGGCAACAGTACAATGTCTACGTTGTTGGTATTGATGACAAGTGTACTGGAGCCAAGAGTGACATGAAGAAGATTCGCACTGGTAATTTGTCTATTGTTATTCAAAGCTTTGCACTATATTCACTGATTTATTCATCAGTTTCAGAAAAAGGGATTTCACATTTACTTTGTATGCTTTAACAATTCTTTGCTGCCACTGAGCACTAGCCAAAACAGAAACAGACAGCTGCCACACACTTGATCTTACTCCATTTATGACATATGAATCATTTAAATGTGGCTATAAAGACATGACGTAATTGGGACATTGGTTAAAACTTAGAAACATTCAATTGAATTCATGAGCTAAATCCATATGTCTAAGGTGTTTTTTGTGTTTGTTGTTATTTGTTGTAGCAACCATACCCTTAAATTAGACAAAATATATTCTTAATAAACATAAGAAATTAGCAGTTCTGTGTCTCTGTTAATGATTTCTGTTACCATACAGAAAGTATTGTGTTTGCTTTGTTTCCAGCTCCGTGTGTGCCACAGAACATACAGAACCGTCTGGACTGCCTGTCTGGTGTCCTGAACATTACCTGGCAGTCGACAGGTTACTTTTTGAACTTCCGCGCCTCTGTGGTGAACAGCGAAGGTCAAATGAGCGTTTGCACAACTCCTATGCATTACTGCGTTGTACAGAACATGCAGTGTGGGCAGACCTACAATGTTACAGTGGTGGCCCAAGATGAAGCTTGCAACAGTTCCCATAGCCCCACAGAGCAGGTCTCTACAGGTCGGTGCAGCTCCTGTTGGCAGTTCTAGTGCACCTGCTCTAGTATTCAGTGTTCAGCTATTCAGATCTGATATCAGCACCTCTTATCTATATCTATTTGTCTTTTAATAGCTGTTTTCTTGTCTTTGATTAAAGTGATTTGTTTGGTTCATATCACATAATAAAGTTTTACCTTCTTGTTATTTACCTCAACTTCTCCTCTTTTTCTGCCGTTCCACTCAGCTCCCTGCCCTCCCTCATCCTTCCTATCTAATGTGAACTGTGGCAATGGCGTCGTATCTGTCACCTGGAACAATAGTGTGGCAGGGGTGATGTATACAGTGTCTGCTGCAGATGCCAAAGGTGCCAGACACAACTGCAGTAGCACAAACAACGGCTGTAATCTCAGCACACTGGCGTGCGGGATGCAGTACAATGTCACAATCACACCATCCAGGAATGAATGTGTGGGCAAAGACAGCCAAACTAAAATGGTCAAAGCAGGCAAGTATCAGCTGTTCTTCTGTTTTTGATCGTATATTCCTCACTTCCATCCCATATCATCCTCTCACTTGTACAGGCTGTTGTTATAAACCCTATTCGTTGCTTATTTCTGGTAAGCCTGTGGTCTTTAGAGGCCATTTGATGCTTGTTAATGCCTCTTTTGGGATGCCAGTTTTATTATCTTGCAAGTTGGCTTTAATTCTTCTCTTGTAGAAAATCCAAACAAAGCGCAAAAGATGGCTTTGTGCATTTAAGGTTAACCAAAAAATCTGTCATAATTTTAGATCACAGTTCTAACTCATGTATAGTGATAGTGACGACAGAAACACACCAGATACTTGGTAGCCAAGTCATTAGTTTAACAGACGTGTTACAAAAATGCACAGATAATAAAATATTACGACATATTTCAGCAGCTGAGATCATTTCTGGGCTGCAGATTTGAGCATCTGTTGATAATATCTACAGAATATAATTGTAAATCCGGTGGTCTGTGTAATCTATGAACATGAATACTGTAAGCACCTAATTTCCTGTCCCTGGTTGCCTCCAGTTCCTTGCGTACCCCAGCTGTCAGACGTGGAGATTGACTGCTTGACAAACTCAGCGTGGGTGATGTATAATGAGTCTGCTGGGGCCAAAGAATATGTTGTGGTGGCAACAGACACCACGGGTGATGTTCAGACATTTGATTGTAACTCCACGTCAGATGGGATGTGTACTCTGCCACCGCTTACATGCAGCCAGAATTTCACCATTACCCTGAAGGCCAAGGACCAGCAGTGCACCAGTGCACCCAGCAACTCTGTCAAAACCGAGACAGGTAAAGGAAAATTATAACGAACGTAAAAGCAAACACCGAAACTGTAAAACCAGGATAAAAGGGAAGTCACTTTAACTAGAATATCACCAGTGCTCTGATGCACTGTGGATTTAAATAGACTTAAACTGATAATATCAATTATATCATAATATATGTTAAGAAACCATTTAAAAGGCCAGTAATATGAGGCATGAAAATGGTTCTGCTCCTCTGAATCTTTGGTTTTTGGCTCATACAGCTGTCCATCCATTGCTCTGTCCGCAATTTAAAGGATGTGTGAAATGCACTCAGTGATCACCTAATGGGGGGGACAAATTGTGCTCGAGGTCAGCGCCACATTTGTCATTTTACAAGGAGTAAGCGGTACATGAGCTACTACATAACTGATGTTCGGGTTTTGTTATAAACTGCTGCTTCTTCCTCTTTTTCGTTTGGCTGCTTCCATCTCATCCTATCACACCCACCCTCTGCATGTCCATCTTCCCCACATCTGTGAGGTGAAAATTGATAATGTGGATACAGCTTCACAGGCATGAAATATTTACAGTTAAAATACTCTTTGCATAAGAAGTTACTGTTTTATGGGTTAAATATGTCTAACTTGACTCTGAGTGTGAATGTGTCCAAGTTATGAGTTAATTTTCTTGGAAATGTAGTAGGGATGCACCGATACCGATACTGGTATCGGGTATCGGGGCCAATACTGTAAAATGTGCGTGTACTCATACTCGTAAAAGTTAACCGATACTAGCTTATTTCATAAATCAGAGGGTGGCTTGTCATTTTTGTTGTAGTTTTTTAGATTGGCCACTAGGGGGACATCCCCTAGAGACAGTGCCAATAGTTCAGTGATATTCTGTTAAATTACAATGTGGAGACTCTGCAATAATTTAACAGAAGTGCTTATTTTTCACTTGAAATTTCTTTGTGGTCATTTTTATTAAGATATTATTTATTATCGGCAGAGAATAAAATAAAACCTGTCTTCCAATTCATTG